CCACGGCCACTGTCTGGGACACTCTGAACCCAAACACCTGTGTGCCCCCCACTGTGGGGGGGTCTCCTCTTCCTTCCCATCCCCGACCTCCACTTCCCTGCTGAGACCTGGTGGGCAGCGTGAGGGACTCTTTACTGGATGCAGGAGGAGCCCTTCCTGGGGGACGACCTGGGTCTGTCTCGGGCCTCAGAGAGGCAGGGGGGGAGGTGGGGGGGGCAGGTGCTGGTGAGGAGCAGGGAGAGCTCTCAGGTGGGCCTGGAGCCTCTGCCCCTGACCCCACAGGAAACAAGCTCAGATCAAACCTGAGGCTCACCTGCAACCTTCAGCTGCACCTCTGCATTTTCAAAGAAGTCTCCATCTTGGAAATAACACAGGTAGGTTCCTCTGTCAGAGGCTCTGAGGTCGTGAATCTGCAGAGCAGCCTTCCCCACAGTGATGTCCTCTCTTAAAATCGAAGTTCTCCCTCGATACTCTGCTGCAGGCGTCTCCTCCTGCCCGTGTGCGTACGTGTGCACTACCTGCCTGGGGCTGGATCGCTCCCACGTCAGCTCCATGGTCTCAGCACTCATCTCCGGGGACAGGTGACAGGGCAGCTCAGCGTCTTCACCCACCATGGCCAGGATGGGCTCGGGGGGTCCAACCACAGCAAACTGAGCTGGTCATCAGAAGGGGGGGCTCCGTCAGAGGGAGCTGGGGCCAGAGGACCAGGGGGTGCCCCAGCAGGGAGGGCGAGGGGAGAGACACCTAGACAGGAACTCAGTCCTCACACAGGTGTGGTCTGGACGGGCCTTGCAGGGGTGGGGGGTGTCCAGGGTCCTGACTGGGCCCCAAGGGAAAGGCTTCAGGTGCAGGAACGCAGAGCAGGTCCTACCTGAGCAGGGGCTGAGCAGCTGGACCACGGCGAGGCAGACAGGGAGGGCAGGCAGACGGGGGACCAGGCGCCTCACCATCGTTCCCTGCTGGGCAGAGAGAGAGACACCAGCCGGGGCTGGGTGCCAGTGACGACCTGGGAGAAGGTGGAGGATTCCACATGGAGACGTGGCCTCCCCAGGACCGACCGGGGGCGCAACCGGGATCCCTGCAGACAGGAGAGCCTCCTCTGCAAATGTCTGCTGGGGAGTCTCTCAACCTTGGATCCAACATGGAAATTAGCCATGAAACACGGAACCATAATGCAAGCACCTTCACCCTCATCAGCAGGGAGTCCATGTTCTCCTTTTGGAAACATGCTCAGAATCCCTCCACTCACCCACAGGTCCCTGCCACAGCCAGGTGCCCGCCCCCATCATCACCCGCTGAGGAAGGCAGGCCCCACTGCTCTGAGTCCCTGGTCCCACTGCTGCCCCCTGCAGGCCGTGCCCCGCACAGCAGCCAGGACGTCCTGACCCCTCAGCTCCCTCCTGCTCAGCCCCTCCCAGGGGCTCCCCTTCCATCCAGAGCAGAAGGCGAGTCCTTTGCACCCTGTACTTTTACAATTACCTGAATGTTTTAAATGAAAAGTTTTCACAGTGTGGGATGTATTTCCACTTATTTCTGGAGATATTTATTGTTTTTTAATCCCGATCATATACAAGTTTAAAATAACCCAAATAATATTAATAGTAATAATAATAATAAAATAAAATATTTATGTTATAACGGAAATCATATACTTTGCTTCACATGAATGTAAATATTACTGAATGTGTTTTCTATATATATATACACACACAGACACAGATACACAATGGCTTAAGAATGTTTTCCCTTTGCAGGAATTAATCTCAAAGAAAAAAATCAGGCATTATCAGAAAGGTTTATATTTAAGTGTGTTCACCATGGTAAAATCTGTAATAGCAAAGTGTAGATACAATTTAAATACCCAAACTACATCCAATTTTGTTACAAATATATAGAAAACTCTTCATTAAAAACATGATTCCTAAATGAACAACTCACACAGTCTCAGTGGTGAAAAGCTGAAGGCTGTTCCTGTGGATCCGGAAGAAGAAACAGATGCCCACAGTGACCACTTCCATTCAGTACAGGGTTGGAAGTCCTGGCCACGCTGATCGGACAGGACGGAGAAATAAAAATCATAGAAATCAGAGAGGAAAAAGTAAAATTCTCACCATTTGTAGATGACATGATACAAAATAGAGAAAAGCCTGAAGACTCCGCCGCCCCCCAGAAAAAGAACATATTAGAACTACTAGGAATTGAGTCACATTCAGGATATAAAAGCAGAAACCTGCTGCATTTCTACACAGCAATACTGAATATTCAGAATGAGACATTCCTCAAATCCCATTTTCAATATCATACAGAAGGACAAAGTATCTAGGACTCAATGTAAGTAAAGAGGTGGCGGACCTGTACACTGACAACTGTAGGACACAATGAGGACAGAAACTGAGGAAACACAAATGAGTGGGGACATACAGTGTGCTGGTGTTGGGAAGGGTTCATATTGTCCCAATGTCCGCACCGCCTACAGCAACACACAGATTCAGTGCAATCTCTACTAAAGTACCAACCACCTACTTCTCAGAGGTACAACAACTAACCCTAAAAAGTATGTGGAAACACAAAAACTCTGAACAGCCAGAGAAACCCTGAGACAGAACGAAGTTGGTGGTGTCACACTCCCGGACAGGACAGGACGTCACACGTCTGCACTGAAGAGACAGCTGGACCTGGCAGGACAGCAGTCACCAAGTCAATGGGACAGGCCAGAGAGCCAGCAGCGAGTCCTCGCCTCTGTGGGCAATCGGTCTGAGGTGAAGAGAACCTCTCCAACATGCTGTTGTCAGGCCTGGACGGATACGTGCAAAAGGGTGTGACTGCATCCCTTTCCTAAACCAAGTATATAAAGAACACAAAATAAAATGAAAGGTTTAAATGTAAAATCTGAAACCATAAAACTGGATGGAAACGTAGGCAGTGAATTCTCTAACATCACTCCTAACAATATCTTTTTGGGCATGTCCCCTTGGGCAAGGGCTAAAAGTGAACAAATAAATGAATGAGACTATCTCAAAGTAACAAGTGTTTGCCCAGCACAGGAAACCAACACAAAATGAAAACACGATGTAGTAAATGAAGAAGATATTTGCCAATAATACAATTAAAAAAGTGTTTGCCTCTGAACTGTGTGGCTCAGTGTGTCGAGTGCCAGCCTGAGAACCCAAAGGTTGCCAGTTCGATTCCCAGGGAGGGCACAGGCCTGGGGTGCTGGCCACGTCCCTGATAGGGAGCTCGTGAGAGGAAACCGACCAATGTTTTTCTTGTGCTTCAATGTCTCACTCTCTTTCTCCTTCCCTTTCCCTCTCTCTAAAAATAAATAAATGGAATCTTAAACTAAATATATAAAATAAAATAAAAAGAAGATACTATTAGGACCCACTTTTTAAGCCCTGTTTAATATTCAGAATTTAGAAAGTACTGATACAACTAAACACCAAAAAAACAGGCAATCTGATTTAGAAAATGAGTCGTGGACCTGAACGGACATTTCTCCAAAGAGGAGGTACAGACGGCCAACAGACACACGGACTGGACCCCCTCTGTGGTCAGACACTGTGTAGTCATGCATTCCTCAACCGTTGTGTGTGTGGAGGTTTCAGATTGTTCTATATCACAAGTATTTCTTTAACAATCTTCTTTACACACACATCTTTATTATATCCTCACACAGGGACATTTTTCTTCATTACTTCTAGAGGAAGAGGAAGGGTGGAGGAGAGAGTAGGACGATGAACAGACAAAGAGAGTGGGCGGGAGAGAGACACATCAGTTGGCTGCCCCTCCTAGGCTACAAAATCCGGGAATGGAACCCAACACCCAGGTGTGTGCCCTGACCAGGAATCGAACCCCCAGCCTTTGGTGTGTGGGACGATGCTCCAAGCAACTAAGCCACACTGACCAGGGGTTGTACAGTTAATCTTTAAGACACACCTGGTAACCCACCCCACTATTCTCTCCACATTATTTCTGTAAATGATGACCTGCTAACTTACATGTGACTCAGATAAACAGCCAGTTTGCCGAGGAATTCCAGACACTGACTTCAGAAGGAGCTCAGTCCACCCTCAGGCATTCAGCTCTGGGAGGTTTGCTGACCTCGACCAGGAACCTGAACAGACTGTGTTGCTTGCACCTTGTCCCCTCGACACAGAACTCTCAACACCCTCCTTTCCGTGTCTTTCTTGGGTTTTTGTTTTCCTTCCTTCTCTCTATTTACAAAAACCCCTGTCTGTGTCCAATTGTTCAGATGGTCTTTGTCAGGAGAGACCCCCATGATCTCCAGCTGCGGGCCCTTGAATGGACCTACTTTCCTCCCACCAGTCCCTGTCTCTTAGTTATTGGCTTTCAAACAGCAGGAAGGCGAACCTGGGTTTGGTGTCCACTTCTCTTCTAGAATCACCTACAACACGTTCCCAGAGACGAGCAGGAGAGACTGTGAGGGGCCTTGCCCCTCTCTGACCACAGGAAGTTCCCAGAGACGGGCAGGTGTCCAGCTCCCTGGTTCCCGTTGTCTCCCTCCCACAGGTGTCCCAGTGCAGACCTTACCTGCCCTGCTCCACGCTCCCCCTGTGCCCTCACCTGCAGGCTCACAGCCCCACACTCCTTCTCTGGGTGAGGGACACCCTGCAGGCTCCCCCAGCTCCTCAGCCTCTCTCCTAAAGGGGCCCGGGGCCCTGGCTTTCACCAACTGCCCCCAATTACTCTTGACACTCCCAGATGGAAATCACAGAGCAAAGGTACTTGATGGTTAATTATTATAGGTGAGTCTCCGAAGTGTAAAGAAGGGTGGGTTAAAGAAAGGGTGCTCAGCAAGGGAAACAGGGTAAAGTCCCTCTTTGAAAACACTTGTTTTCTGATTGGCTCAGAGCCTTGTGTCTCATCAGTTGCTGGGCAGAAACCAGTGGGCAAGGTTGGCATGAACTCTGACCCCGTGTTGGATGGAGCAGTGCAGACCAGCTCCAGCCCTGACTCCCACCCTCTGCATCTCTCTGTGGTCACCTGCGTGAATCAGTCCTGGGTGCTGTGCTGTGTGAGCAGAGATGGCCAGGGCTTCTCTCCTGGGCTCTGAGACCAGGGCGCTGGTTCTGGTGACTGCGGTGGGTCCCTGCTCCATGGAGAACCAGGCTACCCTCAGGCACAGTGACCCCCTGGGCTCCTGTGAATGCTGGGCAGAGGAAGAGTGGGCTGTCATCAGAGCCCAGCCTGAGGAAGGAACTCAGGGGCCTGGAGAAGTGGGAGCGAGGACACGTGTAGATGTGGGACCGATCCCTCATGTTGTAGAAGGAGACGTCTCCACATTCGTAGTCCAGGAAGACGGCCCCCCGGCGAAGGCGCTCCTTCAGGGGAATGATCTTCTCCGGAGAGGACAGGACCCGGCACTGGTGTCCAAACAGCTCCAGGGGCCAGAAGCCATTCTGAGGGACCAGCAGGGCCTCCCCCTTCCTGTGCACACGGTCTGCACAGACCCCCACGGCCCACACCATCACATTTCCTACCTCCACCTCCCAGTAGTGTCTCCCTGAGGAGAAATTCTGCACACCCAAGACGCTTGGCCGGCAGTTGAATCTCTTGGGGTTGTTGGGCAGGCTCTGCCTGGAGGGGCCCCGCCACACCCTCCTCTGGTCCTGGGACAGGAGCAGCTCGGGGTGGGCGGTGTCTGGGTCCAGGAGCAGGTCAGCTGCACGTGAAGTCTGGGGGTGAGGCCTGGGTGCTCAGGGGGCCCCGGAAGCTGGGGGATCAAACCCACGGGTTGGGACCTCCATGAAGGCCCGGTGATCCCAGACCCCAGGCAGCTCAGAGAGGAGAGCCCCTGAGGCTGCATGTCCACCTGCTGAGTGAGGGGCGGGGCCTCAGGGAGAGCACACCTGGGCACTGAGTGAGCAGAGAGTTTAGCAAATGGGCTGAAGTTAATGTCTCCCACTTTCTCTCCACATCCTGAGATGTGCCCCCTTTTCTATTTCAAACAGATGGTCTCTGGGACTCCGTTTGGTTGCAGACTTCCCAAATTGGCTTCATACAGGAGAGACCCTGTCCCCTCCACCTCCCCGTGAAGTACTTCGGGCCACTCACCTGCCCCCAGAACACGGGACCTGCTGTCTCACAAGGAGACCCCAACCCCCTAGTTAGTGACGTCTGCTCCCTCCTCTGTACCCCTTGTTCTTGCCCCAAACCTGTCAGGGAGAGGGTCCCCTGTGGGTGAGGCCCTACAGCTCCCCAATTCATGGGCAGTTTTCTTCTGAACAAAGGATGTCAAACTCATTAAGAAATACTGCCATTTTTGTCACTTGACAGGGCTGGGGAGACAGAAGAGCAGAAGCACCGGCAGTTTCCGTTGGAAGGACCAGATGAATGAAAACCAAAAACTGTCACCAGCCCTGCTGAGCTGCCCTCACTGTGGCCTGGTCACTGCAACCCCCTCCCCCATCTTCTGCCGACATCCGTGCAGTCTGTCCTCACACAGCTCCCTCCTCCAGGTCACCTTGCTGGTCTGCTCCAGTCCCTGCCCTGGCTCCTGTCTCACCGAGACTCCACCACAGGCTCCCTGGGACCTGCTTCGCCCCGTCTGGTCTGGGCTCCTTCCAGGTCCCCACCTCCTTCCTCCCATCCTCCCTGCACTCAGTCCCTCCACCCACACCTGCCTCTGGGGTTCCTGGAAACTGCCAGACGTGCTGCTGCCTCAGGCCCCGGGGCCCTGCCCCTCCTGCTCCCTGGTGCTCACCCCTCACGTGCCCTGTTGTCACCTTTTTCTAAAAATATATTTTATTTATTATGCTATTACAGTTGTCCCATTCCCCCCTTTATTTCCCTCCACACTGCACCCCCCTACCCTCATTCTCCTTCTTTAGTTCATGTCCATGGGTCATACATATAAGTTCTCTGACTTCTACATTTCCTATACTATTCTTAACCTGCCCCTGTCTATTTTCTACCTACCATTTATGCTACTTTTTCTCTGTGCGTCCCCCCTCCCCCTTCCCACTGATAACCCTCCATGTGGTCTCCATTTCTGTGATTCTGTCCCTGTTCTAGTTGTTTGCTTAGTTTGCTTTTGTTTTAAGTGTGGTTGTTAATAATTGTGAGTTTGCTGTCATTTTACTGTTCATATTTTTAATCTTCTTTTTTCTCAGAAAAACCCCTTTAATGTTTCATATAATAAGGGCTTGGTGATGATGAACTCCTTTAACTTGACCTTATGTGAGAAGCACTGTGTCTGCCTTTCCATTTTAAATGAAAACTTTGCTGGATAGAGTAACCTTGGATTTAGGTCCTTGCCTCTCATGACTTGGAATACTTCTTTCCAGCTCCTTCTTGCCTGCAAGGTCTCTTTTGAGAAGTCAGCTGACAGTCTCATGGGAACTCCTTTGTAGATAACTGTCTTCTTTCCTCTTGCTGCTTTTAAGATTCCCTCCTTCTCTTTCATCTTGGCTAATGTAATTATGATGTGCCTTGGTATATTCCCTCTTGGGTCCACCTTCTTTGGGGCTCTCTGAGTTTCCCGGACTTCCTGGAAATCTATTTCCTTTGCCAGATTGGGGAAGTTCTCCTTTATTATTTGTTCAAATAAATTTTCAATTTGTTGCTCTTCCTCTTCTCCTTCTGGCACCCCTATAATTCAGATTTGGAACGTTTAAAGATGTCCTGGAGGTTCCCAAGCCTCTCCTTATTTTTTTGGATTCCTGTTTCTTCATTCTTTTCTGGTTGAATGTTTCTTTCTTCCTTCTGGTCCACGCCATTGATTAGAGTCCCAGTTTCCTTCCCATGACTGCTGGTTCCTTGTACCTTTTCGTTTATTTCACTTAGCATTGCCTTCATTTTTTCATCTAATTTATGACCAAATTCAACAAATCCTGTGAGCATCCTGTGAGCATTATCAGTGTTCTGAACTGTGTATCTGATAGGTTGGCTATCTCTTTGTCACTTAGTTGTACTTGTTCTGGTGCTTTGATCTGTTCTTTCATTTGTGCTATTTTGTTGTTGTTGTTGTTGTTTGTCTGGGTGCCTGCTTCCTATAAGGGCTGGAGACTTAGCTGTTGCCAGGGCCAGGCAACCCACGTGGCTGCGTTGTGATGCTGTGTGGGGGGGAGGGTCCGAGAGGGAACAGTCATGCTAGCTCTGTTCACTGCCGGATTTCAGTCACTTCTCTTGCTACCTACAAGCAAAGTGGGCCAGCCCTTCTGGTGCTGATTCCCAGGTGGGTGGGTTTGTGTATGTTCTAGGACCCTGTGGGTCTCTCCATGAACTGTTCTGTGAGGCTTGTAGTCTCCCACTGCCGTCTCAACCCCCCAGGTGTTTTCAATCAGAGGTTTGAGGCTTTATTTCCCCGCACTGGGGCCCTGGGTTGTGCAGTCTGTCCCGTTCCCCAGGTGTTCCTCCCAGTTTATCTGCATGTGAATGTGGGACCACCCACTCCACTGGTGGCCGCCTTGCCTGCCCGGTCTTCTACCACCGCTTTACTGAGAGTCCTCTCCACCCAGCTGCCCATCTCCACCCCTCCTACCGGTCTGGATGGATGTTTCTTCTTTAACACCTTGGCTGTTGGACTTCCATACAGTTCAATTTTCTGTCAGTTCTGGCTGTTTTTTGTCTTTAAATTGTTGTTCTCCTTCTTTTGCTTGTGCGAGGAGTCACAGTATGTCTACCTACACCTCTATCTTGACCGGAAGTTCAAACTCTGTTGTCACCTTTTCAATAAAGCCTTCCCTCACCTTTCAGGTTACATCACAGCTCCCCTGCCTCTAGCCCTCCACACACTCTCCCCGGATTAATTTTTCTAAGCACTCATCATCATCTGACATAATACTTTAATTAATTATGCTACTACTGGCTTTAGTTAAGTGTTTTATAGATTACTTTCTGTTTCTCTACAACGTGAGCCCCATAAGGGAAGGGGTGTTCATGCATTTTGTTCCCTGATTTATCTCCTGTTTCTAGAACTGAGCCTTGAACATATGTGATCCTTGCTAAGTGTTCATTGAATGACTTTATGAGTGTCTGTAGATACAGACTGTCCCAGCTCTGTGCTTGGAAAACCCCACGGGCAGGAGGGGAGGCTTCAGCATCAGCACCACCAGGTGTAGACAGGCCCCCCCACACACTATATCCATGGTGTGTGATTGTTCTGAACACACAAACGTAGCTGCAGCATCAGAACCACAACAGGAAAAACGAGCAGATTTATCCTCAGAGATGAGGCTCCTCCTCCTGGGATGGGAGACTCTGTGATGCCCCCTGTGAGGAGGGGAGAGGCCTGAGCTCAGCTGCAGCCTGAGCTCCTCAGGGCCCAGGACCCTCCCAGCCCCGCCCCTCCCCCAGCCCCACGCAGGCTTCCAACTGTCTGCTGAGGGTCCTGTGTCCACGGGCCGGGCCCCCAGAGGGCAGGGAGCTGACCTGGAAGGAAGACCCCAGAGCCCCTCTCCTGGCCCAGCAGGGTGTTACTGACAGATCAGGGCTTGTCCTCACAGAGCTGTCCTTGATGGTCACGGCCATGGTGACCCTGTAGAGGCCGTCTGTGTCCCATGCCCTGTGAGCCTCCTCCAGGGTGGGCATGAGCTAACCATAAAAATCCCCCCACAGTGCATAGGGCTCTGGATACCACCCTGTGGAGAAGCACTCTGACCAGACACCCCCATCCTTATGGTCCTTCATTTCAATGAGGGGCGTGGACCCTATACCTGAGAACAAACAAAAATATCTAAAATGTTTAATTCCAAAGCATGTTCCTGGCAAGGACCCTTAGAGATCTCTGAGCAGCAGCAGAAGCATACTACATGGGGATCCACCGTCTCCCCTGCTCATGGCCCCACTGAGCTCACTGTGCTTCTCAAGACTCCATGCCCACAGCTCAGCAGGACACACCCCCTCACTGGACCCTTGGGCAGGAGGAAGCCCCCTGCCAGGGTAGAGGGGTCCTAGACAAACATCTGCTGGTCTGTGGGGGGCCTGAAGTGCAGAGAGAAACTATCCCCAAGGGTCACACAGTGAAAAAGTCACCAAAGAGAAACAGTGGACCTGCCACCATCAGGCACATAGTGGCCTCATCTCAGGATGTGGCTGGTTGGAAATGACAGCGGTGGATGGCGCTGTCATGGGCTGTGACACCATGAAGGAGCAGGGCCACCCTCCCCTGCTCACAAAGGTTGTTCGTCCTCAGCACTGTGTCCACTGGACGCTGCAGGTAGCGCACGAGTAAGGGCCCCCCCAGCAGTGACTCCACTCCTGGGACTCTGTCCCCATGTCGTTCCCTTCACCTGACTTGTTCCCTCACATCTGTCCCTGTGAGAACGACCCCAGATGTCCCCAGCCTGGAGGGTCTCAGCTCTTCTGACTGCAGCAAGGAGGGCCACCTGGGTCCCGTCACTGCAGGGAACTCAGCTCTGCCAGCAGCCAGAGTCAGTAACTCAGACTGGTCCCTGGGTCACCCCAAAACAAAAGCAAACAAACAAACAAAAAATAGCAGCCGGTAGACACCTTAAATACAGACTGGCAGGAGCCGTGCTGGATTCTGACCCAGAAAATTGTTAGATAATAGATTTGTATTGCATTAGGTCATGAAGTTTATACTATTACAGCAAAATAGAAAGTTAACCCAATAAGGACTGGGAAAAATGTGCCCAGGAGGTAAACTATGACCCTGGTGAGTCATCCATGGGGTTAGATCTAGAAAGAGCTCTGTCAAAGGGTGACAATTATTGACACATTTATTTAACACATGTGACCTGACACCCACATGCAGGGGGAGGGGACACACGGTGAACAGTCACAGTGACGAAGATGATGAGGAGGAAGAGCAGCCTTTCCCCAGGACCCAGAGGTGACAGGAACCTCGGGAACCTCAGTGGGTGGTCAGTGGTGGGCGTCCCTGTCCTGGACGTGGGTCCCACCATGTGATGAAACTTCCACTGACGTCCGTCTGCCCCCTCCCCCCACCGTCCTGCTCACAGAGGACCTCCAGGTGGGAGGTGGGAGGGGGGGGTCTGCTCTGTGCCCACAGGTCACAGGCTGGTTCAGAGAGTGGCTGCTGGTCCCTTCTCAGCCTGTGTGATGGGGTCACTGTGAGTTCACCCCCTGGACCACGGCGTCCTGTAGAGCCCATCAGTGAAGGGTGGACCACGGCTCTGACAGTTGACCTTGGAGGATCCAAGTGGGGTGTGGCCTTCACAGTCACCTGCAGTGACCTTTACCCTTAGTGCCCTGGGAGGGACCCTCAGGGCTGCCCATGACCCTGCCCAACAGGACACTCAGCTGCAAAGGGACAGATGAGAGGGAGGGGGAGGGGCAGGGGATGAACATCTCCCAGCAGCACTAGATTCCGTGTGAATTATAGATGTGAGTGAACTTGGCCCTGCCTCAGTTTCCACACTTTCTAAATGAGGCTGTTTCACAGGGTGGTTGTGAGGATGAGTGAGATTCACCTGAAGCAGGTAGCACAGCACCAGGTACTTGTGAAGTCACGTATAGATGTCAGCTCTGGTTGTTTGAAGCCCCTGACTCACCTTTGGAAAGCTAACCCACTGTTTGCACCGTGGTCTCCTCATCTCTCGTGTGGAAAAACTGAGTGTCACTGAAGTCCATCACTCAGCGTGGTTTCAGTGAGTGTTTTCTTGCTGAGACGTTTGCTGTTCAGGAGGCCCTCAGCTCCAGGCTGGGCAGCGAGAAGCAGAGACGTTTCTTCAGCCTGAGGGTCCCCATTCCCACCAGCTGAGCCCGGGGACACTGGGGTCTCCAGGGAAGGGTCAGGCCCTGGGTTAGACACAGGGGACATTCCCACCAATTTCTGTGCTGGGCAAATGGTCAAGGGAGTGGGCTCGAACATCATAATCCAGAAAACAGGCCTCAGAGGCCCAGAGAAGCGGGTGTGTGGGAAGGTGAAGATGTGAGACCCATCGAGGGCATTGTAGAACGAGACCTCCCCCAGCTCATAGTCCAGAAACACCCCCACCCTCCCAGGGGGGCTTGCATTGGTCAGTGGGGTCCGGGGTTCCGTGAGAGCCCAGTAACCCTTCTCAGGATTCAGCTCCACTGTCCAGAATCCATACCTGGGGGCCATTTTAACATTCTTGTTTTTCCTCACATTCTCCCTGCACACCCCAACATTCCAATTGTTTCTGTCCCGAATGTCCAACTCCCAGAAGTGTCTCCCTGACGTGAAGCTCTCACAGCCCAGCACACACTCATTCCCCTGAAATCTCTCGGGGCTTTCTGGCAGGTTCTGCCATGTGTCTGCCCACTGCAGGCTCCTCTTGTCCGCAGAAACCAGGAGGGTGGGGTGCGCCGTGTCTGGATCCAGAAACACATCCGCTGCAGGGGGTCAGAGGGCATGGGGTCAGCTGTGGTGCCTGGACATCAGAGCCTCAGCCTTCAAGACCTGGGTCTGGGCCGGAGGCCAAGCCCACACTCAGGGGTCCCCAGCCCACCCTGGACATGACCCTCAGCCGTGCCAGGGACACTGCAGGGGTCTTTGGACTGGTGAGGAAGAGGAGGGTGAGGAGGGTTCAGATCTACCATATTCTTGTTTCTGCCCCAAAATGTACATGCCCACCTGTGCTGTACAGTCATGTGTATTAAATGTCAGCCCTGGCCCTGCCCCCTGAGCTGGGTGATATTTTTTCCTGCACAGTCTCTCTGTCCTCAGACACCAGCTAAGGAATATCTGAGTTCATTATCATATCTGAGAAGTGGGGGTAAAACTCTGATCTCTGGGTAGGAATAGGACAAATGGGTGGTATGCTGAGCCCCAGGCTGGGCACAGAGGAAGTGCCTGGTGTGACAACAGACACCGTGTCCCTCCTGTGCTCGGGGCCAGGCTGGGGCCACATGAGCTCTGGGGTCCTTTCCCATCTCTCCCACCCCCTCTGGCCCAGGACTCAGTCCTCCATGGACAGCACCCCTGGGCCCCTGGGCTCTGGTTACTGTGGGGTTTGGCCAAGGGGAGGCGCAGGCTAAACACAGGAAGGAGGGAGGAGAAGGGACACAGCGCTGACCCCCACGTCCCCCAGGGAGGTGCTCCACCACAGCTCCTCCCCCAGGAGCCCCCCCCCCCCAAGCCCCAGCTGCCTCCTCCAGGCCCCAGGGAGTCCTCCCTGTCCCTCTGCCCTCGGCCCAGGGGTGGTCACAGCCCCCACTGCTGGGAGCCCTGGGGCCCCAGTCGCCCTGTTGGTTTCCATTACCACCACTCTGTCTCTGGCTGTAAACAAATTAAGCCATTCTTCTTGTCATGTATTTCCTTCACGTCTTCTTGCTGTGACCTCTGACCCACCTCACTGTCCTCAGCCAGTACACCAAAGCCTCCAGGTGACAGTCATCCGTGTCCCTTAAACATGGCCATGAGCACCTTTGTCACCAACAGCTAGAGTGACAGGGGCACCGAGGTCAACTCCACACTGGGGATCATGTGTATTATAAAGGGTCACCTGTCACAGGACCACCGGGAGGTGTGGCTGGTGCTGCCGCGTTCTTTGTCCCTGTTCCTGTCAGTCATCAGTGCCCGAGTCACAGTGTGAGAAAGTGCTGTAAGGGGTGTGTTGTCAGGGAACAATCTGTGCAGGTTTTGGGGTCCTCTGTCCTCTCTGACTCTGCACCCCTGTGAGGGAATCACCCTATAACACTGTCTGTTTGATTCTAGGAGTCCCCCACCTGGTTTTAGGTCTTATGACACCTTCTCCTCACCGTGGTCATTACCGTCAGACAAACACCCCCTACAAACAGGCCGTCTGTCTCCTGCGGGTGTTCTGACAACACACAGTCACCTCCTCACTCGGTCCTTGTCCCAGCCCTCACAGAGCAGCAGTGACTGTGGGACAAGGCAGAACTCGGGGACACACAGGGGCAGGAGGGGAGGAGCCTGGTCAGGTCACCCCTCCCTCTCCCTGCAGCCCCTCCCTCCAGCCCCGCCCCTCCTGCCTCTGCCTCCCACAGAGACCTGTGGGCCCCAGGACACCTGCTGTCCCTGGTCCCTGAGATCTAGACAGCAGGTGGGCACACCTTTGAGACCACGACTTCAGGTCACCTCCCTCAGGCAAGACCTGGAGAGGAAAGGGAGCTGGGGCCCTCGGGGGTTGTCCTGGGGACACAGGGGACCCACTCACCAGGCTGGAAGAGGGCCATCTTCCACTCTGGAAGGAAGGAGACACAGACAAGGAAAGGTCATTCTCTCTGTGCCCCCCCAACCCCCTGTCCTCACGGAACCTCTTCTCTCTCCTCTCCTCAGTCCCCTCCAGCGTCCACTCCCCTCGTCTGCAGCTCTGCGGGCCAGGCTGAACCCTCTCCCAGTGCTGGGCTTCCCTCCGTCACGCTGGGGCCGTGGGGACACGACCAGGCTGTGCCGGGTGTGGGCGTGGGTGTCAGCAGGGTGAGGGGACACTGGGTCTGGAAGGTCCTCTCTGCGTGACCAGACAGGAGGGGGTGGTGCAGACACAGAGAATGAGCCTCTGAGCAGGACGGGATGGCCCCTCCCCCAGCAGGAAAGGCTGCACCTGCTTCCCCCACAGGAGCCTGGAAACCAGAGAGCCTCAGGCTCACTCACCTGCATAGGCCTGAGACCGTTCCTCACCTGCAGTGGAGACAGACGGTCACCTGAACTGTCCTTTCTGAGTCGGTTCCTTTCTCTCCCTTGTGCTCCCTGTCATCTCCCTGTGTGCCCCCCCTCCCCCCCTCCCCCTCTGCCTGTTCCCTCCTGGGCTCCCCCTCCTCTTTCCATCAGCTGCAGCTCAGGACCCCCAGGCGCCCTACAGGGCTGTCCCAGGGTCACCGCACAGCTGTCCTGTCCGTGTCTGTGCAGCAGTGACCTCTCACCCCTGCTTAGATTCTGAAGTTTCAGTTACCTCCTGCCAACCACGGTTGGGAATGGTGAATGAAAGTTGCAGAAAAAAAACAATTGAAAGTTTTAAATTACACATCAGTCTGAGCAGCGAGATGAGGTCCCCTGCTGTCTGCTCCGACCTGTCCCCTCACGAATCCCCCCCCCGAGTCCAGCTTGTGCCCCCTGGGGATCCCCACCCCCCCTTAGTCCCTGAGGAGCGTCTCTGTGACATACGGATGGTCGCAGTGTCACAGCGCTGGTCTTCAGTCACACGTATTTTACCAGTAATGACCCCAAAGTGCAAGAACAGTGATTCTGCAGTGCTGGTGTACCAACGAGGAGCCTTCCTTTACGTGAAAAGGAAAAACCTTGAGTATTCTGGGTTTGTTACCATCTGTGGTTAGACAGCCCCTGGGTGACCCGGACCGAGTCCCTGTCATATAAACGATGACCACGTTCCAGGACCTGGGTGCGACTGCGCACACGCTGCCCTGTGTACACATGTGTGTACCTGTGTGCTGGGATTCACTGAATTCAATCTGCATTATTTCCTTCTAGAAATAACGGGGCAACCTAATGAGACAATTTCTGACATGATTTTTTCAGCAGTAACAATAAATCTGTCACAACTGACACGGCCACTCCTGTGTTTAAGACACTTTTCGCTCCTTCTGCCTTTTGTGTCAGTGGGCTACAGAGTTTGTGAGCCAATCAGGGAGGGAAGGACTCCCACACTGAGTCACCTGCCCCGCCCACTCTCTGGGGTTGCCAGGTTGTCCCTCACGAGCGCCCCCTGGTGGAGAGAGACCTCAGCTGGTTTCCCCCTGCGACACACCACTGCCTGGTCCCCCATCAGCGTCCTCATTCCTTCCCCTGGGAGGTTAGGGGGGAGGGAAGGGGCTGAAATATCCGAACACAGAGGCTGAGCTGTGGGTCCGGGTGACTCACGTGGCAGGTACTGGATGTTTGTCCACCCTGCAGGGAACAACGTGAGGGGTCAGTGACTCGGATAATGAAGGGACCCCAGGACGTGTGGGCCGGGGATCGCCACTTACTGAGTTCATCCTGCAGCTTCTCTGGAAATAAGCCGAAAAAGAGAGTCCTTTAAAGGGGATCGAACAGGGGACCTGTGTGGTGGGTGCGGGGTGGGGCCGGGAGGTGGCGACCATCTTACAGCTGGGCCTCACCTTTGGCACCTCGCTCCTGCTGCTCCTTGACCTGAGCTGCTTCTTTCTCCGCCTGAGCTGCTTCTTTCTCCGCCTGCGCTGCTTCTTTCTCCGCTCGCTCCCTCTCCTTCTCCTGGGACAGGGCCTGGTTCTTCTTCTGCTGTCGCCACAAGAAGTAGCCCGCCCCCGCCAGGAGCCCCAGCAGAGCCGGCAGGGTCACGCCCAGGGCCACCACCCAGGGCTGCGCGTTCCGGAAGAAGGGGCCTGCGAAGGGTGAGCCTCAGCTGATGGCCACCCTGGGTCTCAGAGTATCTGGGGACTGAAAACAATCGTTCTCTCCCCAAAGTGCCCAGAACTTTCACTGGCACATAACACCGTTGTCTTGAAGCAACTGCCTCTCACGTGGGAATATTTTGAAATTAAAAGAACATATACAAGAACATGGAAATCTCTCCACTGCTCCTCCCTCTGCCATTTATTATCTCCTTGTGACTCAGTTTAATCTGGGCATTAAGGATGTGAACTTCGGGGCTGGAGACCTGGGCTCCAATTCTGGGTCTTCCACCTGACTAGCTCTGTGACCTAGAACTAATGACTTAACCACCTGTTCCTGGTGTCCTGTTCAGTAAGAGGATTAAATTAATGTTTATACCTAGTGAGTGCCATGCCAGTGTTTGTTAAATTTTAAAAACATTAATATAATTTTTATTTTATTTTGTTCACACCGCCGACGGCACTCCACACCAGCGAGTCCACAGGTTGTTCTCTCTGCTCCCCTGGGTCTGGGCGACCTTCCCGCCTCAGCACAGGGAGCAGGTCCGTGTCTGCTCTCACAGGGCAGCGCCCCCTGCACACACAGCCCATCTGGGCACTTGACTCTTTGTTACTATAGTTAACGGTGCAGGAAATAACCTTTTACATGAGTCATTACATGAAGTGGGAGCTGATCTGTCAGATAATGTCCCACAAGTGGGATCTTGCATAACTGAACAACTAGTTTGGATGAGGGGGCTCTAATGTCCCCAATGGAAGTTGTGCTTATTGACACCAAAAATATACCAAACAGTAACCACAAAACTGTAGAGTGACTATCTCCCTCAAATTCCACCATCATAATGTGATACCAACCACCTCGTTTTTTCCTTTGTTGCCAGTCTCACAGGTGGGAATCACCTCCCTAGTCAGGGAGACTGGACACCTTTTCCTGAGTCATTTCCTTTTCTGTGAACTGATAATTCCTGTTCTTTGCTCTTTGTTCTACTGGGTTGTTTTATATTTTAAGGAGATCAGCCCTTTTTCTAAGATTTGCATGGTACACATTTTCCCCTTTTCTCATGTTTTTGCTGACCTTGACCATTTGTCCCCAGTTCCCATCCCCTGGCACCGTGTGTGGCCGCAGGAAGAGCTCAGAAGGTGTCTGTGACACAAACAGCTTCATGGGGAAGGAGCAGCAGGTCCCTGCTCTGTCCCTTCTGTTCCCTGCACAGACCCAGGTCAGCAGCAGACAACCACACCTTCCCCCGGGGGGCACCCAGGAGCCCAGGGCAGTGGGCAGGACACTCACCTGGGATGGAAAGGCTGGCTGACCTTTCCTGGCCCAGCAGGGGGTTTCTGATGACACAGGAGACCCCCTCCCCAGAGCCACCTTCCAGGATCACAGAGGCTGAGGCTGCATAAAGGCCCTGGGGGTCTGCAGCCTCTGTGTCCCCCTCAGCAGACAAGCTGTGTCCCCTGGCGTCTCTCCACTGGATCTGGGGCTGCGGGTACCAGCCGGCAGACGTGCACTCCAGACGGATCCCTCCAGCCTCGTAGCCCTTCATTTCAACGTGGGGGTCAGAGACCAGCGCTGGGGAGGGACAGTGAGTCTGAATCCTGGGGAGCCCTCTGCACTGGTAGGGGTCTCCACAGCAGGGAGGGGCACGCCCACCCTGGATGAGCCCAGCATGGATTCACAGGAGCTGTTCCCAGAGTGTGCTGTGCAGGAGAGACTGACCCACGGTGTGACCACAGCCTGACCATGGCTGGACCCTCGTGCTGCATCCAGGGGGATCTGGGCTGGAAATGACATTGTTTCCCCTAAATCCCCTTAGAGACTGCTGGGCCCTCCCCTCCCCCATGTCCCAAATGTCCCAGACATGCTGGTTCCTGGAACAGCCCCTCTTTCCACTCTGGAGAAGCATGTAAATTCCCCCTTAGTGATGCGGTTCACACCCCAGTGCCCCGATCCATCCCTCCTGTCCTGTGTGAGCCTCTGCCCTGCCGTGTGGGGGAAGGATCTGCAGCTCGTCTTGCCACTACCCCAGCTGTGTGTTACATGTGTGTCCCCTGGAGAAACTCCTGATGTAATTCATGCTGCAGGTGTCAGCCTCTTTTGGGGTCTCTCCACCATGAGAGGTTTCTATCACATGTCTCTGGAGAGGGAAAAACTTCTCCACAGAGGAGCACTGACCCAGGCAGGAGCTGTGCAGTTTTACCACTGACACTGAATCCCTAAACACAAGGGGAGCAGGGGGAAGCCCCTTACAGACCTGAGAGGACAGAGTCCTGTGGGGAGGACTCTCTTCAAAGGACCTGTGGCCTACAGGGAGGGACAGTGTCGGGCTCAGGAGGCCCCACAGGGACAAAGCCAGGACCCCCCACAGTCCGTCCCCTGCCGGGCTTCCCAGGGACCCACCAGGCAGAAGCCCAGGGCGGGGCTGTGTCCTGAGAAGGTGAAGTGCAGCCCTGACACCCGGACACGAGCACTTTCATGGGGCAGCACCTCAGACAAGGTCACTCTGTCACTGGGATGGATCAGGACAAAGTCAAGACCACTCAGGTCTCAGCACAGTGGGGTCAGGTGCTCATGAGGAGCTGAGAGTGCTCTCAAGTGGGCTTGGAGACTGTGCCCTTGAGCCCAGGGAAACGATGTGAGGTCAATACATGAGTCTCACCTGCAACCTTCAGCTCCACCTGGGCTTTTTCATAGATGTCTCCATCTTGGAAATAACACAGGTAGTTTCCACTGTCAGAGGCTCTGAGGTCGAGAATCCAGAGAGCAGCCTTCCCCACAGTGATGTCCTCTCTTAAAATCGAAGTTCTCCCTCGATACTCTGCTGCCGGCGTGTCCTCCTGCCCGTGTGCGTACGTGTGCACTCCCTGCCTGGGGCTGGATCGCTCCCACGTCAGCTCCATGGTCTCAGCGCTCATCTCCGGGGACAGGTGACAGGGCAGCTCAGCGTCTTCACCCACCATGGCCAGGATGGGCTCGGGGGGTCCAACCACAGCAAACTGAGCTGGTCATCAGAAGGGGGGGCTCTGTCAGAGGGAGCTGGGGCCAGAGGACCAGGGGGTGCCCCAGCAGGGAGGGCGAGGGGAGAGACACCTAGACAGGAACTCAGTCCTCACACAGGTGGGTCTGGACGGGCCTCTCAGGGGTGGGGGGAGTCCAGGGTTCTGACTGGGCCCCAAGGGAAAGGCTTCAGGTGCACGAACGCAGAGCAGGTCCTACCTGAGCAGGGGCTGAGCAGCTGGACCACGGCGAGGCAGACAGGGAGGGCAGGCAGACGGGGGACCAGGCACCTCACCATCGTTCCCTGCTGGGCAGACAGAGATGCCAGGAGGGTCTGGGTGGCAGTGACGACCTGGGAGAAGGCGGAGAATTTCCACATTAAGACACTGCCTCTACAGGGCCGGCAGGGGGCACAACCAGGATCCCTGCTGACCAGAGAGCCTCACCTAGAAATGTCTGCTGGGAAATCTCTTCACCTTGGATCCCAACATAGAAATCACCCAGGAAACATGGAACGGTAGTGTACATACCCTAACCCTCTCCATCAGGGAGTGCGGGGCTCTCCTGTGCGAACGTGCTCAGAGTTCCTCCACTCACCCACACTTCCTGCCACAGGGAGGTGCCAGCTCCCAGCATCTCCCTCTGAGAAAGGCAGGCCCTCTGCTCTGTGTCCCCATCCCACTGCTGCCCCCTGTAGGCCATGCCCTGTACAGCAGCCAGCTCTTCCTGACCCCTCCCCTCCAGGGGCTCCCATTCCACCCAGAGCAGAAGCCCAGTCCTTTGCACCCTGTACTTTTACAATTACCTGAATGTCTTAAATGTTAAAAGTTTTCACAGTGTGGGATGTATTTCCACTTATTTCTGGAGATATTTATTGTTTTTTATTCCTGATCACAGCCAAGTATAAAATGACCAAAATATTATTAATAGTAATAATAATAATAGAATAAAATATTTATTATTTGATGGAAATCATAGACTTTGATTTATATGAGTGTAAATATTTCTCAATACATTTTGAATATATACACACACAGAATGGCTTTAAAATGTTTTTCGTTTGAAAGATTTAGTCTCAAAGAAAAAAATCAGGCAATATCACAAAGGTTTATATTTAAGTGTGTTCATGATGGTAAAATCTGTAATAGCAAAGTGTAGATACAATTTAAATACCCAAACTGCAGCCAATTTTGTTACAAATACATAGAAAACCTCTTCCTTAAAAACATGATTCCTAAACCAACAACCCACATAATCTCAGTGGTGGAAAGCTGAAGGCTGTTCCTGTGGATCAGGAAGAAGAAACAGATGCCCATGATGACCACTTCCATTCAGTACAGGGTTGGGAGTCCTAGCCACACTAATTGGACAAGACAGAGAAATAAATATCATACAAATCAGAGAGGAAAAAGTAAAATTCTCACCATTTGCAGATGGCATAATAAAAAGTAGAGAAAAGCCTGAGAACTCCACAAAAAAAAAAAACCCCAAACAACTATTAGAACTAGTATGAATGGAGTCACACTGCAGGATATAAAAGCATAAACCCACTGCATTTCTACACAGCAATACTGAATATTCAGAATGACACATTCCTCAAATCCCATTTTCAATATCATACAGAAGGACAAAGTATCTAGGACTCAATGTAAGTAAAGAGGTGGCGGACCTGTACACTGACAACTGTAGGACAATGAGGACAGAAACTGAGGAAACACAAATAAGTGGGAACATACAGTGTGCTGGTGTTGGGAAGGGTTCATATTGTCCCAATGTCCGCACTGCCTACAGCAACACACAGATGCAGTGCAATCCCTACTATAATACCAACCACCTACTTCTCAAAGGTACAACAACTAACCCTAAAATGTACGTGGAAACACAAAACACTCTGAACAGCCAGAGAAACCCTGAGACAGAATGAAGTTGGTGGTGTCACACTCCCTGACATGACAGGACGTCACACGTCTGCACTGAAGAGACAGCAGGACCTGGCAGGACAGCAGTCACCAGAGTCAATGGGACAGACCAGAGAGCCAGCAACGAGTCCCCGCTTCTGTGGGCAATCGGTCTGAGGTGAAGAGACCCTCTCCAACATGCTGTTGTCAGACCTGGACGGATACGTGCAAAAGGGTGTGACTGCATCCCTTTCCTAGACCAAGTCCAAGAAAAACACACAAAATAAAATGAAAGATTTAAATGTAAAATCTGAAACCATAAAACTGGATGAAAACATGGGCAATGAATTCTCTACATCACTCCTGGCAATATCATTTTGGGTATGTCCCCTGAGGCACGGACAAAAAGTGAACAAATAAATGAATGAGACTATCTCAAAGTAACAAGTGATTGCCCAGCACAGGAAACCACCAACAAAATGAAAACACCATGTAGTAAATGAAGAAGATATTTGCCAATAATACAATGAAAAAAGTGTTCAGCCCTGAGTGGTGTGGCTCAGTGTGTCGAGTGCCAGCCTGAGAACCCAAAGGTCGCCAGTTCGATTCCCAGGGAGGGCACAGGCCTGGGGTGCTGGCCGGGTCCCTGGCAGGGAGCACCTGAGAGGAAACTGATTGATGTTTCTCTTGCCCTTCAATGTCTCTCTCGCTCTCTTTCTCCCTCCTTTTCCCTCTCTCTACAAATAAATGGAAATGTAAACTGAATAAATAAATAAAATAAGCAGTTAATAATAGGACCCACTTTTTTTTTCTGTCAGCAATTTGAGTTTCAGCATTGTGATAAAACACTTAGCCAATGGACCATTACTTATTTTCATCCTCCAGTACGACCCACTTTTTAAACAGTGTTTAATGTTCAGAATTTAGAAAGAACTCAGATAACCAAACACCAAAAAACCAGACAATCCAATTTAGAAAATGAGCTGTGGGCCTGAACACACATTTCTCCAGAGAGGAGGTACAGACGGCCGACAGACACACGGACTGGAACCCCCCTGTGGTCAGACAGTGTGTAGTTCTGCATTCCTCAACCGTTGTGTGTGTGGAGGCTTCGGAATGTTCTATACTACAAGTATGTCTTTAACAATCTTCTTTACACACACATCTTTATTATATCCTCACACAAGGACATTTTTCTTCATTACTTCTAGAGGGAGAGGAAGGGTGGAGGAGAGAGTAGGACGATGAACAGACAAAGAGAGTGGGCGGGAGAGAGACACATCAGTTGGCTGCCCCTCCTAGGCTACAAAATCCGGGGATGGAATCCAACACCCAGGTCTGTGCCCTGACCAGGAATCGAACCCCCAGCCTTTGGTGTGTGGGACGATGCTCTAACCAACTAAGCCACACTGGCCAGGGTTGTACAATAAATCTTTAAGACACACACCTGGTAACCCACCCCACCATTCTTTCCACATTATCTCTGTAAATGATGACCTGCTCACTTATATGTGCCTCAGATAAACAGCCAGTTTGCTGAGGAATCCCAGACACTGACTTCAGAAGGAGCTCACTGCACCCTCAGACATTCGGCTCTGGGAGGTTTGCTGACCTCGACCAGGAACCTGAACAGACTGTGCTGTTTGCACATTGTCTCCTCGACACAGAACTCTCAACACCCTCCTTTCCATATTTTTGTTGTGTTTTTTTTCCTTCCTTCTTCCTTTTTACAAAAACCCCTGCCCATGTGCCATTGATCAGATGGTCTTTGAGCTGAGACCCCCTGATGTCCAGCTGCAGGCCCTTGAATGGACCTACTTTCCTCCCACCAGTCCCTGTCTCTCCACTATTGGCTTTCGAGCAGCAGGCAGCTGAACCTGGGTTTGGTGTCAGCCTCTCTCCTAGAATCTCCTAGAACACGTTCCCAGAGACCAGCAGGAGAGACGGTGAGGGGCCTTGCCCCTCTCTGACCACAGGAAGTTCCCAGGGACGGGCAGGTGTCCAGCTCCCTGGTTCCCGTTGTCTCCCTCCCACAGGTGTCCCAGTGCAGACCTTACCTGCCCTGCTCTGAGCTCCCCCTGTGCCCTCACCTGCAGGCTCACAGCCCCACACTCCTTCTCTGGGTGAGGGACACCCTGCAGGCTCCCCCAGCGCCTCAGCCTTTCTCCCAAGGGGCCCTGGGGCCCTGGCTCTCACCAGCTCCCCCAATTAACCTTCACTCTCCAGTGGAAAATACCAGAGCAAAGGTACTGGATGGCCCTTTCTTATAGGTGAGTCTCTTATCCAGAAGAAAGGGTGGGGAAGAAGAAAGGGTGCTCAGCAAGGGAAACAGGGCAAAGTCCGTCTATGAAAACAGTTTTTCTCTGATTGGCTCACAACCGTGTCTCTCATCATTCGCTGGGCAGAAAATTTGGCATGAACTCTGACCCCGTGTTGGATGGGGCAGTGCAGACCAGCTCCAGCCCTGACTCCCACCCTCTGGGTCTCTCTGTGTGGTCACCTGCGTGAATCAGTCCTGGGTGTGGATGTGTGTGAGCAGTATCTCACTGTACACACCTGCTTCATGTCACTTGTGTCACAGTGTGTTCAGCAGACGAACCAGGACAGAGCAGCAGAGGGCAGTGTGTGAGCAGAGGAGGTGCAGGAGTTACAGCGTCACTGTGGTCGTTGACTAACGTCTTTGACAGCAGAGCCCAGTGCAGGTGTGACAGAGAGAGGGCAGGCCCCCCAACCTGTCCTGGCCCCTGTGACACTCAGGTCTCAGATCCACTCCCAGGCAGCACCGTGTTCAGGTTCCCACGGGCGGTGCTGTCAGGGACCGATGGGCAGGTTCCAGGTTTTCCAGGGAAGGTTCATGGGGGCGTTGCTGAGAGGGTCCATCCACCCTCTGCCCCCATCTGAGCTGCACCTGGGTTTCAGGTGTGTTCACTTCTCTCTGCTGCAGGGTCTGTGTTCTCTGAGGTCGGACAGGAGAGGCTGTGAATGTGTCTGTTCGGGGACTTTGGGACCAACAGAAGCCTGGGACCTCCACATACACTAATGCATCTGTGCTTCAAAACAAACACTCAACATTTCAGGAGACTCTGTGGACTGTTCTCCGTGGGTCTGCAGTGCAGAGCTCAGCTGATTCAGCAGGTCTTCCCTGGGCCTGGTTGATGGGGCCAGCTCCACGGCTCTCTCCATTCCGGTGCCCGAAGTCACAAGACTCGTGTTCCATCGCTCCACCCTCTCCTTACGCCCCCTTCATCCCATCATTGTCCCGAAGTCCCGGTACCCCGAACACCGTCTTCCTCTTAACTTTTCAGATGCTGATCTTGAGGCTCTTCTGCCCCCTGGTGGCCGCCGCGCTTCACTGCAGTCCGTGCCCCTGGGAACCGTGCTGCAGTCCCTCTGCTGCTGGGTCCCCCCAGGTACCTACGTCTTTCTTTAATATAACTTCAAATGTTTTTTTAAAACTGTGATACGCAGTAGGAAATGCATTTTATATTGGAACTGAGGACACACACTCACATTTATATACACTGTATAGTCTCATAGTTCAGCTCGAGTTTCTCACGTAAACGTCGCTCACTGCGCAGTGTGTGCATGTCCCCCACCAGCGGCGCAGGCCCTGCAGGTGGCGCTGCTCCGGGAGGACCGTCTGTCCGCGGGAACGCGGCGCCCCCAGGCCTGCGGGGCTCTGCTCTGCTTGTCCCAGGGAGAGAACTCGGACACTCAAAAACTCACCTTCGTTCTGAAACCTAACAACGCCCTTGTTTCCCTTCACGTTAATGCTGTCAGAGCCCCTTAGCTGGGCCGGAGGCGGAGCACGGAGCTTTTCTGGTGCAGACGGACAAGTATCTGGTTGACATCCCCCGCCCGCCCTCCCCCATCGGTGAGGACGTCTCCCTACGAACCACACGCCCGCGAACACGCCGAACAGCGGCCCCGCGGCCCCCAGGTCTGGGGGTCCCCTCGGGGCGGCTGAAACAGCAGAGCCTCGCGGTGCCCGTTCCCGCGGCTGGAGGCCTGAGCTCCGGTCCCGGCGGGTCAGTTCCAGCCCCTGCCCGGGTTCAGGCGACGGTGGAGGGTGGGGAGGGGGGGTGGTGCCGGCAGTCTTTGGCGGTTCCAGGCCTGTGGAAGCTTCACGCTGTCTCCGCCTGGTTCCCACGGGGCTTCCCCGAGACACGTGTCTCCCTCCCGTTTCCCGTGGAGACAGAAGCGGGTCAGTCCCGTGTTCGGGCCAAAAGCACGGACGACAGAAGCTCCACTTGCGTGTCTGCGGGAAGGCCCTCCGCTGACTTGCCTGCGCGCTGACGCCATCTCCTCTGACGGCCTCTCCTCCGAGCTCCTTCATTCCGTGTTTCACCCGCACACCGCGAGGGGCAGGGAAGGACCCCCGATACTTACTGAGGGCGGCAGGGGTGGGAGCCCGGGCTCCCCACCACACCCTGCGGGGGTCAGACCGTGTTACTGGGGAAACAATACACAGTTTGGTCACTGAAGAGAAGGTCGGGAGTGGAGGATGTGGCCGTACTCCGCAGCCCTCCTGCTGGTGCTGTTTTCTCCCCTGGAGACACAGGGAACCCACAAACCACTCGGGGGCAAGTCACAGCTGCAGGGAACGGAAATGTCGGCCCCCGCAGACAAGGTTTCCCCGGGGCGCGGCCGGCCGATGCGTCGGAACCAGGCGGAATACAAGGTTCCACCTGCTGCGTGAGGGGCGGGGCCTCGGGGCGCGGACACCTGGGCACTAAGTGATGCTGACGGTTCAGGAAAGGAGCTGAAATGAACGTCTCCCACTTTCTCTGCACCTTCTCTGATCTGCCCCCTTTTCTGTTCAAGTCATATGATCTCGAGTGCGCTTTCTAGCTGGAAACTTTCCGAATTGCCCAAAACACCTGAGACCCTGTGCCCTCCACCTCCCAGGAAAGGAATTCAGGCCACTCACCTGCCCCCAGGTCAGGGGTCCTGAGGCCTCCCAAGGAGACCCCGACCCCCTCGACAGTGCTGTCTGCTCCCCCCTCTGTACCCCTTGCTCTTGCCCCAAACCACTCAGGGAGAGGCCCCTCCTGTCCTGAGGCCCTGCAGCCCCCAGTTCTTGGGTGATTTTCTCTTGAACAGAGGATGTCAGACTCACTAATAAACAGTTCGAGTTTGTCACTTGACTTGGCTAGGAGAGAAATCGCACAAGCACCTGGAGTCTCAGTGGGAAGGACCCGAATGAATAAAAACCTTCCACAGCCACACTCCAGGCTGAGCCGCCATCACTGTTGCCGGGTTACTGCAACCCCCTCCCACCCCTCCCACCCCTCCCTGCCTTCCTCCCAACTCCCCCCCCACCCCGCCCCTCCAGGGGTCAGGCCATGCCAGTGCGACCTCAGCACAGCGCCTCCCCGTGGTCACCTTACTGCTCTGCTCCAGTCCCTGCCCTGGCTCCTGTCTCACTGAGACTCCACCACAGGCCCCCTGGGACCTGCTTCGCCCCGTCTGGTCTGGGCCCCTTCCAGGTCTGCACCCCCCTCCTCCCATTCTCCCTGCACTCAGTCCCTCCACCCACACCTGCCCCCTGGGTTCCTCAAAACTGCCAGATGTGCTGCTGCCTCAGGCCCCAGCACCTGCCCCTCCTGCTCCCTGGTGCTCACCCCTCACGTGCCCTGTTGCCCCTTCTCACAGGAGCCTCCCCTCACCTTTCCAGTTCCATCACCGCTCCCCTGCCTCTAGCCCCCCAGATATTCTCCCCAGATTAATTTTCTACAGCGCTTATCACCATCTGATATAATAATTATTTTACTCAGTTAAGTGTTTTATAGATTACTTTCTGCTTCTGTACAATATGAGGCCCTTGATGGTGGGATGTTCATGCATTTTGTTCCCTGATTTAGTTCCTATTTCTAGGACAATGTCTAAAACATATGTGATCCTTGCTGAGTGTTTGTTGAATGACTTTATGAGTGTCTGTAGATATAGACTTTCCCAGCTTTGTGCTTAGAAAACCCCAGGGGCAGGAGGGGAGGCTTCAGCATCAGCACCACCAGGTGCAGACAGGCCCCTGCCCCCACCACTCTCCACGGTGTGTGATTGTTCTGAACACACAAACGTAGCTGCAGCATCAGAACTACAACAGGGAAAATGAGCAGATTTATCCTCAGAGAAGAGGCTCCTCCTCCTGGGATGGGAGACTCTGTGATGCCCCCTGTGAGGAGGGGAGAGTCTCAGCTCAGCTGCAGCCTGAGCTCCTCAGGGCCCAGGACCCTCCCAGCCCCACCCCTTCCCCAGCCCCACTCAGGCTCCCAACTGTCTGCTGAGGGTCCTGTGTCCACGGGCTGGGCCCCCAGAGGGCAGGGAGCTGACCTGGAAGGAAGACCCCAGAGCCCCTCTCCTGGCCCAGCAGGTGTTACTGACGGAGCAGGGCTTGTCCTCACAGAGCTGTCCCTGATGGTCACAACCATGGTGACCCTGCAGAGGCTGCTGTGTCCTCAGTGTGAGCCTCCTCCAGGGTGGGCATGAGCTCACCATAGGGGTCCCCCACACTGCATAGGGCTCTGGATACCACCTTCTGGAGGCACACTCCAGCGAGACACCCCAATCGTCCTGGCCCTTCATCTCAGTGAGGGGCTTGGACCCTACACCTGTGACAGACAAATAGTCTAAAATGTCTAATCCAATGCATGTTCCCGGCGAGGACCCTTGGAGATCTCTGAGCAGCAGCAGGGGCTACTCCGTGGGGTTCCATCGTCTCCCCTGCTCACGGCCCCACTGAGCTCCCTGTGCTTCTCAGGACTCCATGCCCACAGCTCAGCAGGACACACCCCCTCACTGGGCCCTCGGGCAGGAGGAAGCCCCCTGCCAGGGTAGAGGGGTCCTCGACAAACATCTGCTGGTCTGTGGGGGGTCATTGATGCTGCAGGTAGCGCTCGAGCAAGGGCCCCACCAGCAGTGACTCCACTCCTGGGACCCTGTCCCCATGTCGTTCCCTTCAGCTGACTTGTTCCCTCACATCTGTCCCTGCGAGAACGACCCTAGATGTTCCCAGCCTGGAGGGTCTCAGCTCCTCCGACAGCAGCAAGAGGGGCCACCTGGGTCCTGTCAGTGCAGGGAACTCAGCTCTGCCAGCAGCCAGAGTCAGCAACGCAGACTCGTCGCTGGATGTCACCCTCGAAAGGACAAACCAGACAAACTAAGAGAGCAGCCTGCAGACACCTGTAGATACAGTCTGGGGAGAGCCACACTGGACTTCTGACCTACAGAGACTGTGAGATAACTAGATTTTGTGCTGTGCTAGGTCCCGTGAAATGTGTAGGGTGTCTATCACAGCATCAGTAGAAAACCAATAATATAATGAGGATTTGGTGAGAATGTTCCAAGGAGATAAACTCTGAACCTGGTGAGTTAACTGTGGGACTTAAACCTTGAAAAAACTCCATTGAAGCTTAAAGATTAGTCACAACTTTACTTAACACATGTGACATGACACCCACATGCAGGGCGAGGAAACACACAGTGAACAGTCACAGTGACGAAGATGATGAGGAAGAGCGGCCTTTCTCCATGACCCACAGGTGACAGGAACCTCGGGAACCTCAGTGGGTGGTCAGTGGTGGGCGTCCCTGTCCTGGACGTGGGTCCCACCGTGTGATGGAACTTCCACTGACGTCCGTCTGCCCCCCTCCCCCCCACCGTCCTGCTCACAGAGGACCTCCAGGTGGGAGGTGGGGGGGAGGGTCTGCTCTGTGCCCGCAGGTCACAGGCTGGTTCAGAAAGTGGCCGCTGGTCCCTTCTCAGCCTGTGTGATGGGGGTCACTGTGAGTTCATCCCTCTGGACCACGGCGTCCTGCAGAGCCAGTCAGTGAAGGGTGGACCATGGCTCTGACAGTTGACCTTGAAGGATCCAAGTGGGGTGTGGCCTTCACAGTCACCTGCAGTGACCTTGACCCTTGGTGCCCTGGGAGGGACCCTCAGGGCTACCCATGACCCTTCCCAACAGGACACTCAGCTGCAAAGAGACAGACGAGAGGGAGGGGGAGGGGCAGAGGCCGAACATCTCCCAGCAGCACCACATTCCGTGTGAATTATGTACATCAGTGAACTTAGCCCTGCCTCAGTTTCCACACTTTCTAAATGAGGCTGCCTCACAGGGTGGTTGTGAGGATGAGGTAGATTCACCTGAAGCAGGTAGCACAGCACCCAGTACATGCGAAGTTACCAGAGATGTCAGCTCTGGTTGTTCAAAGCCCCTGACTCACCTTTGGAAAGTTAACTCACTGTCTGCACCCTGGTCTCCTCGTCTCTCGTGTGGAAACATTGAGTGAATGTCAGTGAAGTCCGTCACTCAGTGTGTTTTTAGTGTTTTCTTGCTGAGAGGTTTGCTGTTCAGGGGGCCCTCAGCTCCAGGCGGGGCAGCGAGAAGCAGAGTCGTTTCTTCAGCCTGAGGGTCCCCATTCCTGTCAGCTGAGCCCGGGGACACTGGGGTCTCCAGGGAAGGGTCAGGCCCTGGGTCAGGCAGGAGAGATTTCCTCACTGCTTCTTGCGCTGGCCTAATGGTCAAGGGAGGGGGGTGCACTGACGAAACCCAGAAAACAGGCCTCAGAGGCCCAGAGAAGCGGGTGTGTGGGAAGGTGAAGATGTGAGACCCGTCGAGGGCATTGTAGAACGAGACCTCCCCCCGCTCATAGTCCAGGAAAACCCCCACCCTCTCAGGGGGGCTCACGTTGGTCAGTGTGGTTGAGGGGCTTGTGAGAGTTATTTGGGAATCCCAATTATACAGCTCGATTATCCAGAATCCATCCTCAGGCGTCATTTCAACCATTAATTTCCTCTCTACATTCTCCCTGCACACCCCAACACACCACTCTATCCTGTCCCCCACCTCCACCTCCCAGAAATGTCTCCCCGACGTGAAGCTCTCACAGCCCAGCACACAGAGATTTTCTTGAAATCTCTCCAGGTTGTCTGGCAGGTTCTGCCATGTGAATGACGCCTTCAGGCTCCTCTTGTCCTCAGAAACATGGAGTCTGGGGTGCGCAGTGTCTGGATCCAGAAACACATCCGCTGCAGGGGGTCAGAGGGCGTGGGGTCAGCCGTGGTGCCCGGACCTCAGAGCCTCAGCCTTCAAGGCCTGGGTCCGGGCAGGAGGCTGAGCCCAGAGCCTGGGTCCCCATCCTGCCCAGATTGACCCTCAGCTGTGCCAAGGGAAACTGCAGGGGTCTTGTGTTTGATGCAGGAAGGGGAGGGTGAGGAGGGTTTGGGACTACCATCTACCTGTTTCCGCTTCCCCAGAATTTTCTGTGCCCACCTGTGCTGTACAGTCACATGGATTAAACATCTGCCCTAGCTCTGCCCCCTGAGCTGGAGGTGTCCTTTCTGCACGGTCTCCCTTTCAGACACCAGCTATGGAATATCTTGGCTCTCAATTTCCTATCTGTAAAATGGGGGTAAAAATACTAATGTCTAGGGTGGAGTAAGACAAATGGGTGGTATACTGAGCCCCAGGCTGGGCACAGAGGAAGTGCCTGGTGTGACAACAGACACCGCGTCCCTCCTGTGCTCGGGGCCAGGCTGGGCTCCATGTGCTCTGGGGTCCACTCCCCACCTGTCCCACCCCCTCTGGCCCAGGACTCAGTCCTCCATGGACAGCACCCCTGGGCCCTGGGCTCTGGTTACTGTTGGGTTTGGCCAATGGGAAGTGCAGGCTAAACAGGGGAAGGAGGGAGGAGAGGGGGCACAGCGCTGACCCCCACGACCCCCTGGGAGATGCTGCACCACAGCACCTCCCCCCAGGAGCCCCCCAAGAGCCCCAGCTGCCTCACTGTCCTCAGCCAGCACACCAAGGCCTCCAGATGACCGTCATCCGTGCCCCTTAAAGATGGCCGTGAGCAATTTTGTCACTAACAGCCAGAGTGACAGGAGCACCGAGGTCAACTCCACACTGGGGACCATGTTGATAATAAAGGGTCACCTGTCACAGGACCACCGGGAGGTGTGGCTGGTGCTGCCCCATTCTCTTTCCCTGTGCCTGTCAGTCATCAGTGCCCGAGTCACAGTGTGAGAAAGTGCTGTAAGGGGTGTGTTGTCAGGGAATAATCTGTGCAGGTTGGGGAGTCCTCTGTCCTCTCTGGCCCTGCACCCCTGTGAGTTCATCACCCTACAGCACAGTCTGTTGTAGTCTGAGGAGTTGTCTGCATCGTTTTTAGGTCGTAAGACACCTTCTCCTCACCGTGGTCATTACAGTCAGACAAACACCCCCTTCAAACAGGCCGTCTGTTTCCTGCGGGCGTTCTGACAACACACAGTCACCACCTCACTCAGTCCTTGTCCCAGCCCTCACAGAGCAGCAGTGACTGTGGAACACGGCAGAACTCGGGGACACACAGGGGCAGGAGGGGAGGAGCCTGGTCAGGTCCCCCCTCCCTCTCCCTGCAGCCCCTCCCTCCAGCCCCGCCCCTCCTGCCTCTTCCTCCCACAGAGACCTGTGGGCCCCAGGACAGCCCTGTCCCTGGTCCCTGGGCTCTGGGCAGCAGGTGGGGCACACCTTTGAGACCATCGACCTCAGGTCACCCTCCCTAGAACTGTCCCAGTCAAGAGTTGGAGAGGAAAGAGGGAGCAGGGGCCCTCGGGGGGTTGTCCTGGGGACACAGAGGGACCCACTCACCAGGCTGGAAGAGGGCCGTCTTCCACTCTGGAAGGAAGGAGACACAGACAAGGAAAGGTCACTCTTTCTGTCCCCCCCCCGCCACTGTCCTCACTGAGCCTCTTCTCTCTCCTCTCCTCAGTCCCCTCCAGCGTCCACTCCCCTCATCTGCAGCTCTGCGGGCCAGGCTGCACCCTCTCCCAGTGCTGGGCTTCCCTCCATCATGCTGGGGCCGTGGGGACACGACCAGGCTGTGCCGGGTGTGGGCGTGGGTGTCAGCAGGGTGAGGGGACACTGGGTCTGGAAGGTCCTCTCTGAGTGACCAGACAGGAGGGGGTGGTGCAGACACAGAGAATGAGCCTCTGAGCAGGACGGGATGGCCCCTCCCCCAGCAGGAAAGGCTGCACCTGCTTCCCCCACAGGAGCCGGGAAACCAGAGAGCCTCAGGCTCACTCACCTGCATAGGCCTGAGACCGCTCCTCACCTGCAGTGGAGACAGACAGTCACCTGAACTGTCCTTTCTGAGTCGGTTCCTTTCTCTCCCTTGTGCCCCCCTGTCATCTTCCCTGTGTGCCCCCCCCCCTCCCCCCCACCCCCTCTGCCTGTTCCCTCCCCAGCGCCCCCTCCTCTTTCCATCAGCTGCAGCTCAGGACCCCCCAGGCGCCCTGCAGGGAGCTGTCCCAGGGTCACCGCACAGCTGTCCTGTCCGTGTCTGTGCAGCAGTCACCTCTCATCCCTGCTTTAGCTTCTGAAGTTTCAGTTACCTTCTGTCAACCACGGGTTGGGGATAGTGAATAAAAATTGCAGAAACAAACAGTTCATGAGTTTTAAATTGCACATCAGTCTGAGCAGCGTGATGAGGTCCCCTGCTGTCTGCCTAGAACTGCCCCCTCACAAATTTCCCTGAGTCCAGCACGTCCCCCCTTGGGGTCCCTCCCCGCCTTAGTCCCTGAGGAGCGTCTCTGTGACAGACGGATGGTCACATTATCACAGCGCTGGTGTTCAGTCACCCGTATTTTACCAGTAATGACCCCAACGTGCAAGAACAGTGATGCTGCAATGCTGCTGTGCCAACGAGAAGCCTTCCTTTACGTGAAAAGGGAAAAACCCTCGTGTGTTCAGGGTTTGGGACTATCTGTGGTCAGACAGCCCCTGGGGAACCTGGACTGTGACCCTGTCATATAAGCGATGACCAGGTTCTCCAGGACCTGAGTGTGTCTGCGCACACGCTGCCCTGTGTACACACGCGTGTACCTGTGTGCTGGGATTCATTCCCCTCAATCTGCATTATTTCCTGCCCACTCCGGAAACAGCGGGGCAACCTAATGGGAAAATTTCAGATACTATTTTTTCAGCAGTAACGGTAAGTCCGTGACAACTGCCACGGCCACTCCTGTGTTTAAGACACTTTTCGCTCCTTCTGCCTTTTGTGTCAGTGGGCTACTGAGTTTGTGAACCAATCAGGGCGGGAAGGACTCCCACACTGAGTCACCTCCCCCTGCCCCACTCTTTCTGGGGTTGCCAGGGTGTCCCTGCACGAGCGCCCCCCTGGTGGAGAGAGACCTCAGCTGCCTTTCCCCACTGAGACAGACCACTGCCTGGTCCCCATTCAGCGTCCTCATTTCTTCCCCTGGGACGTTAGTGGGGAGGACACTGGCTGAAATATCTGGGCAGAGAGGCTGAGATGCGGGTCCGGGTACTCACGTGGTAGGTACGGGATGTTTGTCCACCCTGCAGGGAACAACGTGAGGGGTCAGTGACATGGGTAATGCAGGGTCCCCAGGAGTTGTGGGCTGGGGATCGCCACTTACTGAGTTCATCCTGCAGCTTCTCTGGAAACAAACAGAAAAAGAAAGTCCTTTAAAGGGGATGGAATAAAGGATCCGCATGCGGGGTGCGGGGTGGGGCCGGGAGGTGGCGACCACCTGCAGCTGGGGCCTCACCTTTGGCGCCTCGCTCCCTGCTGCTCCTTGACCTGAGCTGCTTCTTTCTCCGCCTGAGCTGCTTCTTTCTCCGCCTGCGCTGCTTCTTTCTCTGCTCGATCCCACTCCTTCTCCTGGGACAGGGCCTGGTTCTTCTTCTGCTGCCGCCAGAGGAAGTAGCCCGCCCCCGCCAGGAGCCCCCAGCAGAGCCGGCAGGGTCACGCCCAGGGCCACCACCCAGGGCTGCGCGTTCCGGAAGAAGGGGCCTGCGAAGGGTGAGCCTCAGCTGATGGCCACCCTGGGTCTCAGAGTATCTGGGGACTGAAAACAATCGTTCTCTCCCCAAAGTGCCCAGAACTTTCACTGGCACATAACACCGTTGTCTTGCAGTAACTGCCTCTCAGGGAATATTTTGATTATGAAAGAACGTATACAAAGTCATTGAAATCTCTCCACTGCTCCTCCCTCTGCCATTTATTATCTTCTTCTGAGTCACTTCAATCTGGGGATTAAGAATATGAACCTTGGGATGGGAGGACCTGGGTTCCAATTCTGGGTCTTCCACCTGACTAGCTCTGTGACCTTGAACTACTGACTTAACCACCTGTTCCTGGTGTCCTGTTCAGTAAGAGGATTAAATTAATGCTTACACAGTGCCTGACACGTAGTGAGTACCATGAAAGTTTTATTAAATTTCAAAAACATAGATACATTTTTATCTTATCTTGTTTACAGTGAAAACAGCACTGCTATATCAGCTGGTCTGCATGTTGTTCCCTCTGCTCCCCTGGGTCTGGGCGACCTTCCCGCCTCAGCACAGGGGGCAGGTCTGTGTCTGCTCTCACAGGGCAGCACCCGCTGCACACACGGCCCATCGGGGGCGCTTGCACCGTCTCTGACTCTTTGTTGTTACAGTTCATGGTGCAGGAAATAACCGTTCATATGAGTCATTACACACAAATGTGAGCTGACCTGTCAGATAAAGTCCCAGATGTGGGGTCTGGCATAACTGAATGAGCACTCTGGATACGGTGGCTCTGGTGTCCCCAGTGGGAGTTGTGCTCACTGACACCAAACATACGCCAAACAATAGCCACAAACCTGTAAGAGTCACTGTCTCCCCACAATTCCACCATCAGAATGTGTTACCAACCACCTCGTTTTTTCCTTTGTTGCCAGTCTCACAGGTGGGAATCACCTCCCTAGTCAGGGAGATTGGACACCTTTTCCTGAGTCATTTCCTGTTCTATGAACTGATACTTCCTGTTGTTTGCTCATTGTTCTACTGGGTTGTTTTATATTTTAAGGAGATCAGCCCTTTTTCTAAGATTTGTGTTGTACAAATTTTTCCCCTTTTCTCATGTCTTTGCTGATCTTGACCATTTGTCCCCAGTCCCCATCCCCTGGCACTGTGTGTGGCCGCAGGAAGTGCTCAGAAGGTGTCTGTGACACAAACAGCTTCATGGGGAGGGAGCAGCAGGTCCCTGCTCTGTCCCTTCTGTTCCCTGCACAGACCCAGGTCAGCAGCAGACAACCCACACCTTCCCCCAGGGGCCACCCAGGAGCCCAGGGCAGTGGGCAGGGCACTCACCTGGGATGGAAAGCCTGGCTGACCTCTCCTGGCCCAGCAGGGTTTTCTGATGACACAGGAGACCCCCTCCCCAGAGCCACCTTCCAGGATCACAGAGGCTGAGGCTGCATAAAGGCCCTGGGGGTCTGCAGCCTCTGTGGCCACCTCAGCAGACAAGCTGTGTCCCCTGGCGTCTCTCCACTGGATCTGGGGCTGCGGGTACCAGCCGGCAGACGTGCACTCCACACGGATCCCTCCAGCCTCGTAGCCCTTCATTTCAACGTGGGGGGTCAGAGCCCAGCGCTGGGGAGGAACAGTGAGTCTGAATCCTGGGGAGCCCTCTGCACTGGTGGGGGTCTCCACAGCAGGGAGGGGCACACCCACCCTGGATGAGCCCAGCAGGGATTCACAGGAGCTGCTCCCCAGAGTGTGCTGTGCAGGAGAGACTGACCCACAGTGTGACCACTGCCTGAGCATCGCTGGACCCTCCTGCTGGATCCAGGGGGATCTGGGCCAGAGCAGACATTGTTTCCCCTAAATCCCTGTAGAGACTGCTGGATCCTCCCTTCTCCCCATGTCCCAGACATGCTGGTTCCTGGAACAGCCCCTCACCCCACCCTGGGCAAGCATGTAAGTTCCCTGTTAGCTGAAGCAGGTCCCACCCCAGTGCCCCTATCCATCCCGCCTGTCCTGTGTGAGCCTCTGCCCTGCCTGTGTGGGGGGAAAGGATCTGCACCTTGTCTTGCTGCTGCCCCAGCTGTGTGCTGTATGCTGTGTCCCCATGGGAAACTCTGATGTAATTAATGCTGCAGGTGTCAGCCTCTTTGGGGGTTCCTCCGCATGGGAAGTTTCTATCACGTGTCTCTGGAGAGGGGAACACTTCTCCACAGAAGAGCGCTGACCCAGGCAGGAACTGTGGGGTTTTTCCTACTGACACTGAATCCCTCAACACAAGGGGAGCAGGGGGAAGCCCCTTACAGACCTGAGAGGACAGAGTCCTGTGGGGAGGACTCTCTTCAAAGGACCTGTGGTCTACAGGGAGGGACAGTGTCTGGTCAGGAGGCCCCACAGGGACAAAGCCAGGACCCCCCACAGTCCATCCCCTGCCGGGCTCCCCAGGGACCCACCAGGCAGAAGCCCAGGGCAGGGCTGTGTCCTGAGAAGGTGAAGTGCAGCCCTGACACCCGGACACGAGCACTTTCACGGGGCAGCACCTCAGACAAGGTCACTCTGTCCCTGGGACGGGTCAGGACAAAGTCAAGACCACTCAGCAGTCGGTCTGAGCACAGAGGAAGCAGGAACAGTGTGCAGACCTCAGCAGTGACCACCCTCCCTGTCCTGGCTGGGAGTGACCCATGACACCCCCTGCACCTTCCTGACAGCATCCAGCCCAGAGCAGAGCCCTGCTTCCACACACCCCCAAGTCCCCTGATAGTCCAGAGGTCACACCAAGTCCTCCCTGACACCCCCTCTCTGAGACACCCCGGTTTCCTCCCCTGTGCATCCCCCTCACTGCTCCAGGGATGGACACACCCTGTTCAACTGCACGTGTGTCCCGGGGCCTTTGGTTGGAGGGAGTGGGCACCACAGGTGTTGTCCCTGCAGCTCAGCCCCCTGGACCCACAGCAGCGGGCACCTGGGGGGCCCACGGCCACTGTCTGGGACACGCTGAACCCAAACACCTGTGTGCCCTCCCCACTGTGGGGGGGTCTCCTCCTCCTTCCCGTCCCCGACCTCCACTTCCCTGCTGAGACCCAGTGGGCGGCGTGAGGGACTCTTTACTGGATGCAGGAGGAGCCCTTCCTGGGGGACGACCTGGGTCTGTCTCGGGCCTCAGAGGAGCAGGGAGGGAGGCGGGGCGGGCAGGTGCTGGTGAGGAGCAGAGAGAGCTCTCAGGTGGGCCTGGAGCCTCTGCCCCTGACCCCACAGGAAACAAGCACAGTCCAGCCTGACTCACCTGCCACCTGCAGCTGCACCTGGGCTTTTGCATAG